CAAAAAAAAAAAAAAAAAAAAAAGATGCAACCATTTAAAATCACAGTTTAGGGAGTTCACTGGTGGCCTAGTGGCCCAGGTTCAATCCCTGGCTGGGGAACTGAGATCCTGCAAGTCACATGGCATGGCCAAAATAATAATAATAATAATAATAATTTAAAGGACAGTGGCAAATACATTTTACAAAATAAAGTGAAAAAAAAAATCCCACATTTCATTAATATGAAAAACACTCAGGCAAATAGAAAAGTGAAAAGTATTAGAGAGTATTAGGATTAGAGAGTGGATTGTAAGTAAATCTTCTTCAAAAGAGTTCTTATTGTTACTTATGTAATAACTTATTAAAATGAAGGAAAATTAACCCATCCCTTTAAAGCAAACAATCTTTCTAATAAATATCAATCCAGAAGAAAGTAATTTTAAACTCCTAAGAAACAGTGAAGAAGAATCCTGACTTGGTTTTTTTCTAATTATACAGCAGTGGAATATTCAGCAGCATCATGAAAGGCTTAGGGGCCAAATAGCCTTTGCTTATGATAAGAAGCTCTTAAATTTTAAACTTCTTCATTATATGATAACACTGTAAACTTAGAGAACCTTACATATAACAGGCAACTATCCAATTTCTAATATTATTATAATTCTTTTTAATGCTAATCTATTTTACTTAATGTTGTCTGCATGAAAATAATTTATTTAGTGTAAATAGGTATCAGTGACACCTGTTTTGTTTTTCCTGCTAGCTCCTGAGAAAACTACAGATCACACCTCTGCTGTAGTTTATTTTATATAGAACGGACTTGCCTATAAGTTTATATACTATTCTTTGTTTACTGGAACATGCTGTCTTATACTTACTTTCCTAATCAAATAAAAAAAATGGACAAAGTATTAAAATAAGACAAAATATTAGAAAAAAGATAAGGCCTAACCAAAACACTAAGAAAGTCATACCACATAAGAACAATTAAAAAATTTATTTTAGTAATCTAGCCACTAGCAAAATAATTTCCATTAAAAATACTGAAGTATCTAATATATTAGTTGTATCACAAATATTAATTCACAAGAATTAACCTACATCTATCTAATTTATACTGGCATTTCACTCTACTACCCTTTAACTTCCACTTGACTTTAAAAGTAAACATAAGACAAATAGTTTTGACATTATATTCTCTACTAAGTTATTATCATATTCAAAGAATAAACTTTTCCTAAAGAATTCATTATTTTATAATTAAAGTCAAGAAGTAGAATTTACATTATAATATCTACTTTACAATTAGCTTTATCTAATATTAATGTATATCCAAAAACACTCTCATGATTATTACTAAAAAATAAATTATAACCCAGAAAAGTTACTGACACAATGCCAACTGCGCAAAATTTAAGTCCATCAATTTGAATAAAGGCATTTATCAATAAAATGACTGATCGTGCTGAATAAATGCTTTATGCAGAAAATGTTTTGGCTTATTCACATCTATTTTGTGTTTATTTTCTTCTGTCATGTTGACAATGTAATTCTGCATGAACACATACATTATCACTTTTTGAAGCATTTTAATACAAATTATTTTCAAAATTATTCAGGACCCCAAAGTCACTATTTTTTCATCATAAATTTATTTATTTCAACATATGGAGGGCTTCCCTGGTGGCGCACCGGTTGAGAGTCCGCCTGCCGATGCAGGGGACACGGGTTCGTGCCCCGGTCCGGGAAGATCCC